AATAAAACTATCACATTAAATAATGTAAACAGCAAGTCTTTAAATGAAATACTATTTTTTATTATTATTATTATTATTAATGAATATTTTAATATTTTAATAACTTTAGGAAATAAAAAGATTGAAATTACATTGATTTTCGAATTTGGATTTAAATATTTCATCTTTCGAAATTTTGTTAATCAATTCGTCTTATGCATACAGTAAAATAGCCTTGAAAGGAATGTTTCTATATTAATAATACGCTTTCAATAAAATACATCGCAGTTCATCATATTTATTAAGTATAAATTTAAGACAAGTGTAATACAATTTTTCACCATCAATGTACTATTTACTCATCACTTTCAAGCGTCCGTTATCTCTTTAAAAAAATAATGCCCCTGTCGATACTGCGAAATACATTTCAATTCACTAAACAATACGTTGAAGAAACTTCAACAAATAATATTGTAATTCATACATTTTTTTATCGATACTAGCACAAAAAGTAGAAAATTTCTTCTATAGTACAAACTACTAATTAAATAAAGATAAAATTCTAAAGGTATTTTGATTTCATCAATTTAAGAAAACATATAAAAATTTATGAAATGTTATATTGACATTGCAATAGATAGATAAATATATAAAGACAGCAATGGTTACGAAGAAATTTATACAAAAATAATTGCTGTCCATTATTGTATAAATTAAAGTTAAAAATGTTAACTTTGGAAGAATAAAGAACTCGCAATATTAATTGTTTTGAATTTAATTAAAAAATCTGTGGTTAATTTAAGCCCAAATTAATTTTAATTAACGTGATATATATATATAAAAAGAATTAATGAAAATTTTCATAATTGCTATTTGAATATTCACATTATTTACTTTTGTTGATTTTTTTTAAAATAAAGCTATGGATTTAACAAATTTTTAAAAATTAAACTATATGCTATAGTTTTATCATTTATCAAAATATAAATATTGGAAAAATATTCAATTTTCGATATATAGTGATTCCAAAATTTATACTATTTATAATTTTCAAAATATTTATTAATAAAAATGTCAAGAGTTATTATTAAAATTCTTTTATTTATTACTATTTACATTAATAATGTCAATTTTACATATTAATTAAAATAATTAGTTTCTATATAATTAAAAATGCAAGTATTATTTTGATCCGTATTTTTATATGATTTTATGGAATTCTATAAAAAGAGAACTTTTATAAAAAAAAGTTAGGATTTAATGCCAAAATTTTGGATGTCATGGGAAGCATCGATCAATGCCAAAAATTCGAAAGTAGCCCAGCGAATGTGTATTGAATTGATTCACTTATATTTATCCTATGTATTCATATTTCATTTAATTTTTATAATCAAATGTTCAGAAAAAGACATTATTAAAAATAAGATTACAATGTTATCAGTTAAAACGTATTAAATGAAAATAAAATTGCAACTACCTGCATTTTCCTGTTTCATATTTTTCAATGATTTTTTACATGTTTGTAAAAGTAGCAAAGAAGTACAAAGGCAGTGTTTGCAGACATAGTATTTCTTCTAAATTGTCTCGAGAATAGAGCTACGAGTAAAACAATTCCATTTCGTATCTTTAATTTCTTTTTGCACGAGAAACTAAGCTAATCTCTGAGTGTACCATTATTACGACCACACCCTGTACAAATATTATATTCCAACAAAGGATATTGTAGAAAAGAAAACCATAAAACTTTTCTCAACGCCTAACAATCATCGAGTGTCAAGTACGAAGAATAAAAGACGCACGACGCATTTGTTATCCCAGTTCGATCGGCGCGCCGATCGAGAATAAAAGGACGTGGGCACTCGCGAAAACACGATGAAAAGGTGGCGAGGGTAAGTGGAATGAGCGGCAGAGCGCGCACGTGAAGAGGAAGGGAATGGAAGAGGACGCGAATGGAAGTCAGTAGGAACGAAAGAGAAAGATGGCAGGGCAGATAGTACGCAGGCAAAGGTAGACGAGATAGAGGCGGAAAGCGATGTTAACATAAGATCGAAAGAGAACCAGAAGAGTCTGCCTCTGGGTATATTCTCCGTCTCCCTAATTGGATTGCATTCCAAGCAGTAGCGAGTAATGGACCAATTACAGTAGCTGATGGCAAGAGCAACCTATATGGCTCCCGAGATATCATTACTTCGCTGGATTAGAGAAACTCATACGGGGGTTTCCGCTCTGATAAATAAAAACTCTGGCCGATCTTTTACCACTCGCGCCTCGCGTTACCGCTCCGTGTACCGGTTTCCTGCGTTTTCCGATCACTACCAGCCTTACACCGACTGGGATAACTGCGGATAAAATAAAGATAAACTCCCTAAAGAGACTCGCTACGCGTCGATTCTCAGGGGGATCAATTTACCTTTTTCTTTTCCCTTGCATGCATTTTAACTTAACTGTATTTTGAGGCGTGTATTTTGAATGTCATATATTTGTAATTTGTGGTGCAACTTAATACATTATTATTGGTAACGTTATGTTTTTATTGTGAATCTAGATAAAAGTATTTACAGATTCTTATGTTATATGAGTGATTTTCTTAGTTTAAGATATGTATTATTATAGGTTATTCGTTAAAAGAGATTTTTTGATCGAATATTGCGATTGTTGTGACACAATTAATTGTGCTTTTGTTTTTCAAATATTTTAGCTAAATTGTACTTTGAGAAGTACATTATAAATATTGAATATACGTCATTTATGACGTAGTTATACATATTATTGTTCGTGACGTTATATTTTTTTTGTGAATCAAGATAAGTGTACTTGATGTTCATATGTACATATATTACATATGTGATTTCTTTAGCTTGAGATATTAACAATTTTTTTTTACAGGTTATTCGTCAAAAGAGATTTTTTTAATTGAATATTGCGATTACAATGCTTTAATTAATTTTATTTTTGTGTTATAATTAACTGTATACTTTTTTATATACATATTACGTTTACGATGTCTTCATGCTGGTTACTGAATATGATTTTTGTATTTTTATCTTTGTAACACAAGTAATTACTAATGAATATAAAATTTGTGCAAAATTATAATACCTGTGGAGAAAGTGAAATATGAGTAAAAGATATATAAATATATATTATTAATTGTAATTAAATTTACAAGAATTTTATGGATACTAATTTTTATTCGTATTTTGATCTGGTTTTACTTTATTTTTAGCATTGCAACGAGATAAAAAGGCAATTACTCCTTTTTATCGAATTAAGTGATTTGAGATTGAATGGGTTAACTACAGATGGAATAAAGTCCCTAAAGAGGTTTGCTCAGCGTCGATTCCCAAGAGGATCGATTTATTTTTTTTTATTTTATAAATTTTAAGCTTACTGTGCTTTAGAACGTCTATGTTTAATATCGACTATTTGTCATTTAACGAGCAATTATTATTTCTAATTATTTGGACTTTTTGGTCTAATTTGCGAATTATATATAAATGTTAAAGTAAATGTTATAATTAATGATAAATTAATGATGCATTGTTTCCTTAGGAAATCGATAGATTATATACTTTAATTATTATTAAAGCCTTCACTGTGTTTTAATTTTTAATATGTATTCCAAAATATATTTATATATTTATATATATTATATATGTCGGTGATAAACATTTGCATAATATTTGTTATTTATAATTCCGAATAAAGTAAACATGACTCCGTTGAAATTGTAAGATCAATATTAATTAAAATAAATTCGTATATAGGTTTTGTATAGGAAATTAATCCGTCAAATAAATTTTATTTTACTTAATCATGATTTCATTAAGAACGACTCTTTCGTGAAAACTTAAACACAGTTTTATTTTCTCTCTCTCTCTCTCTCTCTCTCTCTCTCCCCCTCTCTCTCTCTCCCCCTCTCCCCCTCTTTCCACTTGATTTAGTGCAATATCGTACGATAATATATAAAGATTATATATAAAATGTAAAGTTTGTCGACAGGTTGGACTTCTGAAAAAGAGACTAGTAGTCCTTGCCAACCGGAAGTATTGCCATGACCTGGTCAAAGTTTTCACAAAGTTTTTGACTGCATTCCAATTACCTTGGTTTATTTTTTCTTTTTTTTTTTTTATTATAGGTACGGATATATTTTGATAGTACTTGTGTTATCATTATTATATTATTATTGTTATATTTGCTACATTTACTATATTATTTATACAAATATTACTGTTTTTGTTATTATCTCTATACTTTATATATTTGTATTATTATTATACTGCATTTTGCTATCATTGTTACTATATTTATTTGTTTAATTTTTTTTTTGAACAAGACAGACATTTTTGTGAAAGTTCACAGATGATTCTTGAACAAATGACAAATAAAAAGGTAACAGAATAAGTATAGTAAAATACTCAAGCCTCTCTTCTCAACAGTCATGTCAGTCCAACTGTTAGAATAAAGTGTTTTTCGTGCTATCGATGGAAACTAACCACATTTTTACACTTTTCTAATACCTCATCCACTGATTAATTCTCTATCCTCGATTAATCTCCTTAATATGGTATGTACGAGTTCATATTTCCCGAAAATTACATTAGCATCGAAATTAAACATTTTTCTTTTTTTCTTTTTAGTAAAGTCAGCTTACACGAATTATTTATCTCTTCTTCCACTTGGTACAATTATCTTGCAATGTCACTAGGTCATCAACGTGAATTAACTTGCTGTATTTTACTAAATATTCTGTGTAACTGGGAAAAGGACATTGTCCAGGCAGTATATATATGCAATACAAGAATATTTATCTTTTTCAGTAAGAGTAACTTGTTCGGAACTTACCTTGATGTGAGTCATACGATGATAATAGAGATTGGAGGAGGCCGTAAACTTCTTACCGCAAACAAGACACTGATGAGGTTTTTCACCGCTGTGGATTCGTTTATGCGTATTCAACGAACTCGACGTTGAGAAACCCTTGTTGCACACCATACAAACATGCGGTTTCTCTCCTTCAATTTAACAACAAAATTAAATTACTTGACTGATAATCAATTGCTCAAGTTGGAAGAGATATATGTGAACATTTTTAATTTTGTCTGTTTCAATTATGCGATTTCCTTTTCTCTTTAACTTCATACATTTGCATATATTATTTTGATGGATGTTACGATATTTGTATTTTTATTTATATAAAAATTCTACTGAACAAAAATATTGTAAGCAATATCTTTCTATTCCAATTACCTTGGTTTATTTTTTCTTTTTTTTTTTTTATTATAGGTACGGATATATTTTGATAGTACTTGTGTTATCATTATTATATTATTATTGTTATATTTGCTACATTTACTATATTATTTATACAAATATTACTGTTTTTGTTATTATCTCTATACTTTATATATTTGTATTATTATTATACTGCATTTTGCTATCATTGTTACTATATTTATTTGTTTAATTTTTTTTTTGAACAAGACAGACATTTTTGTGAAAGTTCACAGATGATTCTTGAACAAATGACAAATAAAAAGGTAACAGAATAAGTATAGTAAAATACTCAAGCCTCTCTTCTCAACAGTCATGTCAGTCCAACTGTTAGAATAAAGTGTTTTTCGTGCTATCGATGGAAACTAACCACATTTTTACACTTTTCTAATACCTCATCCACTGATTAATTCTCTATCCTCGATTAATCTCCTTAATATGGTATGTACGAGTTCATATTTCCCGAAAATTACATTAGCATCGAAATTAAACATTTTTCTTTTTTTCTTTTTAGTAAAGTCAGCTTACACGAATTATTTATCTCTTCTTCCACTTGGTACAATTATCTTGCAATGTCACTAGGTCATCAACGTGAATTAACTTGCTGTATTTTACTAAATATTCTGTGTAACTGGGAAAAGGACATTGTCCAGGCAGTATATATATGCAATACAAGAATATTTATCTTTTTCAGTAAGAGTAACTTGTTCGGAACTTACCTTGATGTGAGTCATACGATGATAATAGAGATTGGAGGAGGCCGTAAACTTCTTACCGCAAACAAGACACTGATGAGGTTTTTCACCGCTGTGGATTCGTTTATGCGTATTCAACGAACTCGACGTTGAGAAACCCTTGTTGCACACCATACAAACATGCGGTTTCTCTCCTTCAATTTAACAACAAAATTAAATTACTTGACTGATAATCAATTGCTCAAGTTGGAAGAGATATATGTGAACATTTTTAATTTTGTCTGTTTCAATTATGCGATTTCCTTTTCTCTTTAACTTCATACATTTGCATATATTATTTTGATGGATGTTACGATATTTGTATTTTTATTTATATAAAAATTCTACTGAACAAAAATATTGTAAGCAATATCTTTCTTTTTTTGTAAAAGAGCAATTGTAATTTTATTCATATTTTATTATTATATCACTATCATTGTTCTATGAAATAATAATTATAATTCTATTAATATTTTATTATTCAATTATTTTTATTATTCTATAAGATAATTTTAATTTTGTTGATATTCCACAATATCAATTTTAAATATTAATTTTAGAATGTACTAATAAATAATTCTATACTATTAAATATATTTAATACTATAATATTAAATTATATATTTTCAATAAAAATGTAACAGTTCAAAGGAGACCAAAATATGAACAATTGGAATATTGTATTTACTAGTATTCTCTAGTTAATATGACAATTATATAAAAGTAAAAGAGGGTTGTTAAAATAATGATATGTAACACCTAAATTAGAATATTAATTTAAAGGCCTGTTAATTAATATATGTAGTTTAATTAAATTATATTTAAGTTATTATAAGTAAAAAGCAACCTATTCATAAAAATCAATTTTCACAAATTACAGAGCCAAATTATTTCATAGAAACAAAAATTAAAAATAATATTTATCTTCAAATGAATATTTTCAAGTACCAGTTAAAATTGATCTTGATGTAATCAAAAACTTATTTAAATTGCACCTTACCTCTATAAATTATATATTTATAAATTCGTATAATTATTACTAACTATTTGCAAAATTTATCTTCATTTTAAATTCTTCTATTTACTCTTTCCATGCGAATAATATTAAATAAAATGATAATTATTCGTTCAAAAACCACCTATTATTACATTACATTTCACTCACCTGTATGCGTTCTCATATGTCGCTTCAGAAGGGATGGTCTATCAAAGGACTTCCCACAGACCTCACACGGCAACAGAACCCGCTCCCCTCTTTTAATTGTCGTTAAAATGCTGCAGTCTAAATGATCTCCTGTCAAGGATAATGTCGATGACGAAGACTCTTCAGACGTGGATTCGTATTCGTCTACCTCGTAATATGAATGTGAGATCGTTGATGACGAATGATGCGAGAGCAACGCCATGGATAGATCTAATGGGGATTCTTAAGTACAAAATCTGGTTATTAAATATTATCTTTCTGTTTTTAAAACATATTTCTAAAAGTTTGATTACTGAATATTATCTTCCAGATTTTACTACATACATATTTGCAATAACTTGATTGCTAAATATTATTTTTTAGATTTTATTATGCCAAATATTAAAATTCAAAAATGTACTCAAATTTTCAACAAAATTAATTTATATTGTAAGAAACCCTTATGCAAAAATCAACTTAATATTAACAATACGTTTTTGCAAATATGTCCGAAATTAAAGTCGATCGACAGATATATCTGCAGAAAAGATTATTCAGAATGATACTCTTGACAATATATTTTGAGGTTATTAAAATTCACGAGAAAGTACTTTCCGACAAGTTGACCGCGCAATATTCAAAAACCGAGGCTGTTGGTAAGTAAGGCTGCGATAATTACAGTAGATGTGTTTCCTGATGAACTGGCGTTTTGATGAATTCAAGAAAAAGGAAGATAATAGAAGATATAAAAGACGGAGAGAGAGAGAAAGTATCACATGCGAAGTCAATTCGTCACAAACGTATCCACTATAATCCTAACCTAATGCGTTAAAAGTATTCGGGGAAAGTTCAAAGTTTTAATTCCCTTTATTTTAGGTTCGGAACTTTATAGATGGCGCACTTATTTATGCGTAACAAACAGCGGTAAATATTTACGAGAAAGTACACCTCGCCGATTTCAATGATCTTGAAATATGTTGTTAAGGACATGATTCTGAGCAACTTTTCCTTATACGTGTTACCGTCGCACGGCTTTAGTTTCGGAGATACAGACAAAAATATTTTTGAAGTTTAAGATAGGTTTAAAGTAAACCTACGTTATATTTAGGTAAGATTTAGGTTATGTTAATTTATGGAATAAGTAAAAAGTATCGATATGGCAACGCTACTTAAATACTGTATTCGTAAATACATCTAATGCGACGGAGAGTGGAAACCTTGTTAGTCTAATTATTACTAGATATATATAACGTCGCATTTAAAAATAAATTAAATAGATAAAATCAGAAATAATCAAACCTAATTTCTGAAAGTAATTCCCGGAACAATGAATAACATAACTAATTAGTTTTAATTCCTAGGTTAGGTTTGGTTATCTTTTATTTCGTCGCCAAGTGCGATGTTATACACATATGTATAGTTCCTAACCTCTCTTCTCAAAATTTAATTTTGCGTACATTTCAGTACTGTACATTACACTTACAGTTCTACCTTTGTTTATATATGCAGGAATCGTCTGTTGTACACTGTTATGGACTCATCAATTAGCAACAGTTTTCCACGAATATCTCGGAAACTAATGTCGAGCGATGGTAAATTGCATAAGGAAAAGTTGTTCAGAACGATGTCCTTAACAACATACTTCAAGGTCGAGGAAATCGGTGAGGTGTATTCTATTGTAAACATTTACCCAAACAGCTTTTACCCCTATCTTACACTAACCCTGTCTGGTATCGCGACTGTACTTTATCCGATACACGTAATAATATCCATTTTCTCCGTTTCTTTCAAGGCCAGATCTCCTAGCAAAATATCCCCGGCCGCGACTGCAGTCATCCCCCTCACGGTCCCTCCGCCCCTCCCTGGTTTATCCGGCGGACCTCCTCCCCAGTCGGCGGAGCCCTCCTGTTCGGAATTGAAGGTTCGCCGGCATTGTACTGTCCTTTATGTCCCCGGTAAGCGCGGGGGTCCACGCATTTGAATCATGAGCGAGCGAACGAGCCACCTTGTGATCCAGCCGACAAAAATACCGGCGCATATTTGCATTTCAGATTTGTTAGCCGAGTTTCGTTCCTTCTTTTTCGATTGGGCCGCGATTGCGCCGATTAACGCGATTGCACCCGGTCAAGATTTCAATCGCTGAACTCACGGGGCTGGCCGCTCTCTTTTCTGCGCCGTCGAGTACTTCGAGCAGATACTTTTTTAACGTACAGGGTGATTCACCTGGCACTACTATCTCGATCTGCGCCGCTGTTATTATTCGCGGGGAAAAATGATCAAGCGAAAGTCGAATGTTTTTGAGAGAGGTACGTTCCGACGCTGTTGGTCCTTTGCACTCGACAGGGGCGACTCTTGGTCACTCCTTAAGTGAGCTTTTAAATATTTCATAGTCGATATTAATTTTAGAATAGCGTAATGATGGAATACTGGGAAAAAATGGCCCCGTTAATTTGTATAAAATTTCTTTGTATTATCGTCGAAAATATCGACTTCGTGACAGGAAAATGTGAGATTGATACTTCCCTATATCGAAAAAGTCTTCGAGTTCAAAGGGTTAATAGTGGGATTATCGAATGCAAATGAGTATTTTTGGAATCTTTTGTTTGCTTATGGGATTAGTGTTGTATCGATAAGTGGGTTATTGGTGATGTGAATTTATGTCTGGTAATATTTAGATTTAGAAATTAGGGATATTTTTATCTAGTGAACTAAGGAGTTTGACTTTCCAGAATCCTTGTTTTTGAAGTTATCGAAAATATACTGTTGTTTTTGGTAGTAACTTTAATTTTATCTTTTATGTAGGTGGGAATGTAATAATCTATAGTTAGTTATTATCATATATCAGTTTAGTTATTATGTACGTATATTATGTTTGAATATACATTAGAATTAACTCTAGGATTCATTTTTCTGCAGGTGGATTTTCTTCAAGGGCATTTCAACGTCAATTTTATTTTTTTTAAATTGAATTCAAATATTGTATTGTAAAATTCGATTATTGTAATGCCACTGTATGAACTCCTAGTTCATAGTTATTCATATAAAGGGTGCCCCTTAATTCACGCAAGATTTGAATTTTGCGCCATTTGTGTGGTAAAGTGTAGCCGACGAAAAGAGAAGACAGCGTGACAGCTGACAGTTCAGGGTTATTAAAAATAGAGTGCTACATAAAAGAACAACGCGTTTTCATTGCTGAACGATATTTATAATTTTTAATTAAAAACCTGTGTTTTCTATTAAAATTACTTCTTGCGTGAATTTTGGGACACCCAATATGAAAATATTCGAACGTTTATATCTGCTACGTATGTGAATAATATATAAAAATTAAATCAAAGTGTTTAAAACAATATTGTTCATATAGCAAGGAAAATGTCTCAAAATTATATCAATAAAATTAGAAAATAATTCAACAATATATGAATATATGGACCATGGTGGCGCTAGTGTGTTACCTAATGGACAATTATCTTAGGGTTCCCCTAGACAAGAAAAAATGGACGAATATTAAATTAAAATTTTTATTTTCGAATTTATTTTTCAGTGTAGCACTTTCTTTATTTCAATACGTATTTTTCAATATATTTTACGTCAAGTCAAATTAAAATAAAATATGATGACCTTAAAATGGCCTTGAATACATATTTATCTGAGCAAAAATCAAGATCAATTTCATCAGGGATAGCTGCAATTTTCAGTAATTGCAAAAATGAAACGTTTGAACCCAGTCATTTTGATTGGTTTGGTAATTTCAATGTTAAGCAATTGGTAAGGGAATTGCAGTGCTTCAAATTTTCATCTTTCCTTGATGCAAAAATTTCACAAATATTATTGAAGCATGTGAATATATATATACTTAAATTTTGGCTTCAGAAGATTCTATAGTCTCTTCACGAAAAATTCTCTAAGAATTTATCGTTTTTAAAAAATACGATATTTCTTAAAATATAGAAGTAAAGAAAAGAATTTTTAATCCAGTACTTTGAACTTTTCATACTATATTATATTATATATTATATATAATTTTTAAACAAATTTACGATTCTTTATTTTTCATTTTTAGGTATTTATGGATTCTTTTGGTACACGACAATTCAACCCTACGTTTTACCTTAGAACTCGCTGACAAAGTTCGTATAAAAATCTACAGAACACCCTGTATATGCGTGTGTATGTAACTTGTATGCTTATGAGACTTTATGTCGACTTCTGTATTAATTATTGCAAATAATCTTGAGCGACTTACCATCTAAAATGGAGTCAATCGTGCATCTGTACAGAGCAGACCTCGAACACATGTCGTGTGGTATGAAGACGAAATCTTGTTCTGCCGTAGGAAGAAACCAAGCCACTAATTCCGTATCCGGTTGAACATCTTTTATTACTTCAAAGATTGGATCCCCTGTATCACACGGACGGGCAGGAAAAATTAAATGAACGTTATTAATTTGCATTAATGAAAAATAGGGTACAGAAGCTCCTTTAATTAGTTTTTGCCGAACGATCGGTAGTATTCGACAAACTATAATTACGTACAACGTTTCTCTTTTGCAAATGGAGTCACGGTGTGCAACCACATGAAGAGTTATAACAACTCTTCACTCTCAAGGAATTTTGGCAAACGAGCAGCCTTGAATTTAATCTTTTAATTTCGTTCGTAATTACTGTTGCTTCTTTTAAATAAGTTCGACATTTTTCTTGGTAAATAATTTTATATTTTATACAGAGAGGTAATAGTTGGGGATCAAAGTGCTTTAATGTTCAAAATAAAATAATTAAAAATGAAATATTTTGAGGAACATGGTGAATTTTAATTTAGGTATAACTGCTACCTCCACAAAGATGTTTTTAAGTGTATCTATGTAATATATAACGAAATTTTGAAGTAATTGTATTTAATATAATATGTATACAACAACGATTATATTCCATACGAAAAATTTAATTATTACTTATGTTTTATGGAATTTTTATATCAAAAATTCCATTTAAAAAATTTCAGTGTTTTTAAGTATTTTTCTTTACAGTCTTTACTTGTAGTATTTGTACAATTAGATATGTTATAATACAAGTAGCATAATTTAGTATCTTTATTCATACTGTTTCTGGATAACTTTATTTATGAGATGTTATTTATTTAATATTTCCATTTGTATAATATCAGTATAATACAAATAGTGTTTCTCAGTATTTCTACTTAGATCTTTAAAATCTTTCTTTTATATATTTATTTCTATAATATTGGTATAATACAAATAGCATAAATTCACTGTTTTTACTTACATATATATTTCTTGTTATTTTTATTTATGTAATATTTATGAAATAAGGCATCTTTGCCAAAGACAACTTGTATTATTTCTTTTATATATTTATTTTTATAATATTGGTATAATACAAATAGCATAAATTCACTGTTTTTACTTACATATATATTTCTGGTTATTTTTATTTATGTAATATTTATGAAATAAGGCATCTTTGCCAAAGACTCAAGTTATATTATTTCTCTACTTGTATTATACAATAAACGATATACCAAATGAATTATTCGTATTACATTAAGCACCGAATAAGTCTAACGCTAATCTACAAGTACAAGGGGAGACTTAACCCTTTGCACTCGAGAGATGCCCTTCAATCGCCATTTCATGAAATTTCGAAGCTCGATATTAATTAGTATATCAAATTTAAAATAATGTAACAGTGAGCGAGGTATCGAAATTAAATAATTCTACGTGTCAATTATTATACGATTTCTTATTTACTGCTGAAGAAGTATCATCAGCTTTATAGCATAAAATTTGTCAACTCGTACCCTTCTTTAGCCAAAAAATCGTCGAGCGCAAAGGGTTAATTCAGATAATTAAACGATCAATGGTGTAACTAATTAAACGCCACCTTTGCTCCACGTGTTTCGCAAGACAGCCATGAAAAATTGTTGCAATACAGTGATATTCACGAAACCACGGATGTTTATTGACCGAAATGCAAGAAGCATATTAATTTGCAGAGCAGAGTTGTTAGTAATACCAATAATTTGCATGGAAAATTTGTCAGGACTGACGCGGATGCACCACTATCATTTGCTGGATCACGTTCATTCTCCTGATTTACTCTATCTTTTTTTAACGCATGCATTAACTTACCTTTCACTTTGGTACCAATTAAGTTTACTTGTTCGTCGTAAGACTGAACTATACGGAGGAATCTTATCCAATTGCACTGACGCTTGTTGAGGCTGTAATTTGAAAAGAAGACTTCATCGTAGCAGCCGTATTCGCGTCTGATCTGAAACAGATCGCAGTTATGAAGAACTTGCGTTAAAACATCGCGAAAAGAAAGAAAGAAGAACCATGAGGAATGTTTCGACTGTGATTGCTACCTTTGCATTAAAACATTTCGTACGATATTCTCGATTTTGTAACACTTAAGAAAATCAAGTTAACGTAATGACTGTTTTTATATAGTTTAATGAGGCTGAACGTATTTTGTCCTTTAATTTCCATAGTTGTAATAAAAGTAACGTAACAAAGTGAGTTGTCAAATGGGGAACATTATTAACTGATACGTAGCTTTTACGAATAATTTTATAATTAATTATCAGCTTACAATCTGAAGTTAAGTTTCTTATATTTTATGTATTCGTGAAACTGTGTTTAAATATTTTATGTCGGTGTAGATTTATGTTTCATGTTTAATTTACATTTTAATTTGCGATACTTTTGTTTAGATTGTATTTCAAATTGAATATAAATTAGAACAGTTATGAAGATATTGTGTCTTCATCAAAATTTTCATACTACTTTCCAGAAGGGAGTATCAAGATTTCTATTAATAATTTATGAAGATACTTATCATAATTTTGTCTTATTTTGGAGTTAGTTATGACAAACCAATGAGTTTTACAATTAGTAATTACAGTAATTACAATTAGTATTATTTATCAATATTAATTAATTAAGCGAATAAAAGAACTTTGACGTTTTAACATTATTTATAGCGATTTACAAATGACTATTGGAAATATCAAAATGTACAATTTGGTGTAAATTATTATCCTTATTTTCTGTTAATTAATTTATAAAGATACTTATCATAATTCTGTCTTATTTTGGAGTTAGTTATAACAAACCAATGAGTTTCGGTACTTACAATTAGTATTATTTATCAATATTAATTAATTGAACGAATAAAAGAACTTTAACGCACCTTTTTAACATTATTTATAGCAATTTGTAAATGACTATTGGAAATATCAAAATGTACAATTTGGTATTAATTATTATCCTTATTTTCTGTTAATGTTATATTATTAAATTACTGACATTTAGTTGTTACTATTCTAAAACGATTGCAAAAATTGTATATAAATATCAATTATAATAATAGAATATTTTTATGTTAATTTGACTACAATATTTATATTTTTAATACTAAATGCCACAAAATTATTGCACTGCCTCAATAATAATAGAATATTTTTATATTAATTTCACTACAATATTTATATTTTTAATACTAAATGTCACAAAATTATTGCACTGCCTCTTTATTTAAATCCATAATTAAACATAGATATAGTACAATTGTAAATTATCTATATAGAATTAATTTCTTTATTTGTAACTTGTATTCCTAAAGAATCAGGTGTCTTGAAGCATTTAAATATTTAAAATTACAATTAACATAATCTACTTTGCAGCTTTTCATTTATATTCTTTACTCAAAGTCTGTTTAATGTGCAAAGTATAATATACAATTTGTTTCATTGGATGGAGAAAAGAATTTCAAATTTGAACTTATAATTTGTGACATCGTTTGTATTGCTATTAATTAACTTTAAAATTAACTGAATTGTATTTCTATGACAAAAAGAAAGATATAAATATATATAATCTTAATGAATATTAATAAAATAATTCAACTTTATAAAGTTAAAATTAAAGGCTAAAAATTATTTACTTTTGTAACAAGCTTTTCTCTATTCTATAATATATTATTATTAAATTTTAAAGCGTGAACGTGTTTTAATGGCTAATTAATTTTGTCATTAACTATTGACTTATCAAAAGAAGTTTAGTTATCGTTTTTAATTCAGTTTAATAATCTTATATAATTATGACTAAAAGAACAAGGTCTATTTTTATTTATCCTTAAACTTAGTTATGCTCTTTTTAAATCTTAAATCAAAACTTTCGATTAAGTAGTAATTAAATAATTATTACGGGATGTAATAAATTTATATTAACTTTGAACATTATGTAATTATTTACGTTTTTATAGTTCGCAATATATCTGATCTCCGCCCATGAGATGCACTTATGTTTCATGATCTGCTCATTGTTAAACCCCACGGTGCAAGTCTTTAGTTCCACCTCGATTTCGCACGGCAAAGACGTCGATCTTTCAGTACAATAAAATGTAGAAGGAAACGATCGTTTAGAGTTATTATTCACATACCTCTACCTATTACATCCTATTATCTTACATGCATTTTCTTCTACACCATCGACGAACCAAGAATAAAGAGACGTAATGGAAATTTTGTTGCGCAGGTTTTTGTAATCGTTCTAAGTCCTAGCATAAGTCGATACCTATAGCATGGAAATCGTCAAATGTCTAAGCCTAAGCTGTATTCTTTCAACATCACTGACCAAGACAATTTACAATGCCAAAGAAACATCGAAACTTGGAAAAGATACTCACAAAAATCCTCATTAAACCTTTGCAGCCTGAATCACATTCGATCGATCCATCTAAGTTTCCTTCAGAAGCTGTTCATAATTTCTCTATATTCTCATATTTCTATAAGTAACTGGTCTAAAATGAGACCGAATACGTTCCCAAGAGACTAATCTTCGATGCAAAATAGTATACTCTGTGTCCAAAGACTGAAAGAAATGGAACAAGATAGAGTATCGAGTTCACCAGGACATAAGACTGCAAAGGATCAATGAACAAAATCAATGAGAAGAATGTGAATCATGAAAGATCGAATGAACGTTACGACTGGACCGTTACTTACATCATTGTCATCGAGAAGGGAGTAAAGGTCGATCTTGTCGAATCGAATGGAACCCTGAAAGGGGTAGATCAACGTCCCTGCCGGAATAAGCACGTTGGACCATACGGATATCCTGACGTCCGTAACTAAACTGCCTGAATCATTCTTGAAGAGGCCCTTGTAGTTGGATCGATCGTTCGCTAGTGCCAAGGAAAATTCTTTGGGTATCAGAACGCAGGTTTCCATAACAGAGGCCCCGCAAAGGGATGCTTTGGGAAAGTCACAGCTACCGTTGTCTCCACTGTAAACACTTTTCTGAACGGGCCACACAACTACAACGAAGATCCTCGATTTTCCTTTCGATCGAACGTTTATATATCATCAACGAACTGATGGAAACGTCGATGATTTACAACACACCCTGCTAGGAAACTTTGTCTTCGATTAGAGCAGTGATACCGGAACGACTAAAGGGTGGCGGAAGACAGGTTCCCGGATGGATTTATAAATGAACGAGAATAATTTTATACAGCGTGAGTTATCTCCGTTGGGTGTCACCACGAGACCGAAAACGCACTTGACTTCTTTGAGTTTGGTACAAGTACAAAGACACTTGTGTGGAGCGCACTCGAAACTGTCCCGTGTTCCCGGTCGAACGTCGTTTTCGTGTCAGCTCCCGACTTAGGTCTAGATGAGGAACACGATCTATCGGTATACCCTCCAGGAGGGAGGGGCGGGGGGAGGGGGGGAGATTGGACGAGCGGGCAAATTCGAAAATTGGAGCAAATCGAGCAAGTGCGGCGTGCGGGATCGCAAAGTGAAATTTCAGTTGCGAGCGGTGAGGGTCGTTCGTCCTCCAAGGTGCAAGGGCCTCGGCTGACTGGATAGGATTAACCGACTGATCTTGACCTTGCGACGGGTTACCAGCATTTGCTACCGAATGGGTAGCCCTTCCCCTTCTTTACCTCTTTTCCCACTCACAGTACATGGCCCGCTGCAGACTTTTTCAGTGGCGTAGTCCCCTCCCGACATCCTCCATATCGCTCGTAATCCTTTCCACCGATTTTCTCTGATCGTTTAATTATACCACTTTTCCGCTTTTAATATTAACTATATCCATTTCTCAGAAGGCCAGGTTGCAACGGCTCGTGTTTTACGTAAGAAAGAAGTAAAAGGAAGGCTCGTCGGGGATAGAGTAGCCAAACGGTGTACGCCAATGGATCTCTTTGCCCCACTATGTTCATCCTGTGGCGAGTGCACTTGGTGTATAGAACGAGTATCGGCTGCTTCACCATTACAAGGAAGCCGGCTCGTCGTCCTCGTCGTCGTCATCGTCGTCTTCTTCACCCTTCTACCGTCGCTGCAGCACCGTAAAGAGAGAACCCACGTGGGCGATTGGGCACCTGTCGCTCCCTGTGCCCTTTCCTTCTCTTTCTCGCTAACCACCCATTCGTGTCCATCCTCCTCTAGTTCCCTACCATCTTCCCGCTTCCACGCCCTACCATATCCTTTTATCCGCCGCTCTCCTGCTCCTCGCCATTTCTTCCACCTAACAGCCTTCTGGACTCTCTTATTTCTTTCTTTCGTCGCGTTTCCTCGGGCCTGCACCGGCGATCTTCTGCCAACCAGCCGAGGCTGCCTCCCTGATTCCACGCCGTTCTCTCTCGCTTCAACCACCATACTCTGCCTTCTGCTTTCCGTCCACCGTCTCTCCTTCTTCCTCGTTCCTCAGGCTCGTCTTCCACCTTTGCTTCGTCGCTCGCCGCCTCTCTGATCTCTTTCTCTCGCCCTCTTCGCCTTCGCCGCTCGCTCTACCCGTCACCTGAAAACCTCTCCTTTTATTCATTCGTTACGACCGAACGCTGGAACACCAAGGAATAAAGTTACGAAATCGATCGGGGATCGACTCGTACGTTTTTCCTTCGCGATTACCAGCTTTTTTCCATCATCCACTGCTTTCAGCCACCGGATGAGAGGTCAATTTAGGTTTTCTCGCGCGTTCCATGCTCTCGGAAGCTCGATGAATTTGGCAGGTTTCGTGTTTTTGAGGGATTGCTCTGCCACTGATCGATGTTGTAACGATTGATGCGAATGTAATGTTTTTTCTTCCGGATCAGATGCGATGCCATGTGACAGTTCGTTGGCGAAGTTTCCTATCTTTCGTGACTGCAGCTCTGGTGTGCTTTCTGTTAATTAATTTGTTAGATGTAGAATATTTATTCATTCGTTCATGGATTTGCGGATGCCGTGGTATTCTGAGATGAGGAAATTATCAATGATTAATCGAGGATCAATGTAAGCTACTAATGTTTATTTAGTTATTCAATGTCATAGTAAGTATCTTGGGAAAGTGATATATTACCTTGATCTTCTGTAGTCCCTTGGTCTTCACTGGTGGCTTGATCTTCGGTGGTTCCTGGATCTTCAGTTGTCACTTCATCCGTCAATGGCTCATATTCGGAGCCTCTTGGACTTCTAGGTACGTTCCTTAGATCAAGTACGCCTTTCATGGTTTCTCGAAATCTAAATGTATAATAAAGCATACAACGTATTAGTATTTAATCTAAAAGACATTACATAGTAGTTATATAATAGTTACATAACAGTTATATAGTATTTACTAGTTATTATTATTAATTCTATTGATTAGTATTGTAATAATATCAATATCTTAGTATCGTAATAATATTAGTGTCTTAATATTATGATAGGTTTGCTAATATTATAATGATATTAATATTTTAATGTTATAATAGTATTAATTTTTGAATATTCTAATACTATTAATTTTTTAGTATTATAATAGTATTAATATTTTAATAACATAATAGTAGTATCTTAGCATCGCAATTATGATATTACAATTTTATTCTTCTTTCTCATTTTTAATTCGTATTAATTTGTAAACCTATTGTTCGAATACCATATTTTTCCAGATACTGATTTCTAATCCAATATGTGTGTGTGACATACAAAATTGGAGATATAAAAATTGACAAGTATATACAAAAATTAATCGGAATTGTAAGAGGCAAGTATATAAGATAATGTACAGATGATCATAAAAGATTATATTAGTGTGGAAACTTAAAGATTGTAAAATACACTTGATTTAATAGAATATTTAAAGAATACGAATTACGCATTACAATTTCATTTTAGGATGTTTTTAGACAAGGAACACATAAACATGTTTCAAGATAGCGTATTTTAGAAATATCCAAAAAATAGCAAAGAATGAAAATTTTATCATACAATCATAAAATAAGTTATTTGCAAGAGCAACGTAAGAATAACAAATATACATTGAGCTGAATGTCAATGCCCTTGTTCGTTAAAGGCAGAAAAGGAAAGAAATATCTGGCAAGAAAGAAAACAAGGTATACAATGAGATATTTATGAAACATCAGTGTTTTGTCACATGATATTAGAATAGTTGATTAACCAGGGGCAAAGTAAGTGATTCATTATGCAGCAAAAAGGAAACATAAGACTTCAAAGTTGTTTCTGTGAACTGGTGTCTTAAAGAACTTCCATACTAATAAAACAATCCATATGAAATTTGGTATGCATATAAAGTAAATTGTATGTTTCTTTATACCCAAAGTTATGATCAACCTGATGTCGGTAAGATCTTTTATGTTTATTTAAAAAATACTTTTTTTTAACAAAATATGAGTACTTTGTACTAAAACACTGTCATTTTGTTAATATTCAATTTTTGTTTGTCACTGTAGTTTCAGTTATTGCTATACTTATATAGAATTACATACATTTTTTAATATTGTCATTTTTAAATATATTTGTTAAAAGGATTGTATATAATGAAAAAGAATGTACATATGCTAAAAATTTTTAAAATTATAAAAAATTATGTTTTTTAATATTCTATATTAGAAGACTAAATAATCACTGAGGTGTGATATTAAAAATATAAATACATATCAGTAAAATAATCACATGTTAAGTAAAAAAATTAGATTAAATAGAGAAAGTAACTTTGTATGTATATACACCTTATGTAATAATATGATCCTCCAATTATAGCTGCAACTATAACCAGAAAAAGGACTATTACGACGATACCAACGTAATCTTCATTTGGCAGCCAACCAAAAAAGAAACGCGTTGCCTGATCTTCCATCAAGTGTGTACGCCAATTTGGTGGTCCCAAAACTTAAAAATAATAAAAATGGCATTATTATTTAAAACAAGCGAAATTACAATATAAGGGATTTAAAAATTAAAATATCTATATCTAAAAATCTGTTATGAATATAACTTATTTAATTTAAATTTAAATTCAAAACTTAAATTTCTATTAAACTTAATATTATCGCCGTATTAACTACTATCTACTAAAAAGGTAGTTTGCTATGTTATCATAAGTAGATAAATTTCAAAAAAATTTTATATATTGAAATGATTTTAGGATCAAAATATTTTAAATCGCTTCTGTAAGAAATATTGAATACGTGCAAACAACCGTGTGAAATTCACTTAGGGGAAATCTTCAAATAATAACATCCCTAGGAGGTCTTCAATATAATGTTACCTACACTATTACCGGTTTTTCCGGTTCTCACAAGTTTCTGCCAAGACTCGTTTAGTAGATTGTCCATACATTAAAAAATCACTTGATTTTATAAATATAATTTTTATATAATAATTTTAGGCGAAATATATTTTTTATAGAAGCCACCTAGTGTTCTTTTATTTTTTTCCATTTTGCATTTTGTACAAGTAACTACGCTTTAGATGAGCATTGAGTTCTGATAATCCTTCAGAGATATTTATGATCATATTATAGGGTCCATGAGTTCGCATTTGATAGAACTTTGCATTTTTATGGCGAGGTTATTATGTTCAGGGTAATTGATGCTAATTCTATTACCATAGGAGCACAAAACTTTTATTATGTTGCAGAACTTATTAATCACATTCACCACAATCTGAATATTCTCTCAATGGTATTCTAATAACAAGGAACGTTTCCTTATAAATACAGCAATGATGCACGATATTATTATTATAATAATATTCTTCAACTTCATAATTAATCCTGTACAGGTTGTAATACTAGTTGTCATATACTATTCTGGATATGGAAGGCTGAGAATATTTGATATTTATGAAGAACATGCAAAGTACTAAATAAAAATAATTGTTTTTAGTATCTATTATTAAATAAAAATGCAAACATACAAGGAAAACAACGTACATGCATCAAATAACTGAAAGATAATAGGGGATCAAGTATAATAGAAGAAATAGTGCAATCGATAAATAAAGACACTAAAACCAAAACCAGATCAAATCCAGAGTTCCTTTAAAAAGCTTATAATGGATTTCATGAAAATATGCGATAAATATTCTATACTTAAATTTTAACAATTGTTAATATAAAATATAAGTACACACTTTGACAAATGTGTATTATAAATTTACTTTTAAATACTAAAAGATGACCATTTTTAATACATTGTATAATAATCTCTTCTAAATATGATGATTTCTTACCTTTAAAATAAATCATATTTGTTATCCACTTAAAACCCAAATCGTTTTGTTTGACAATGCATTGCCACATTCCATTGTGTGTTTTATTAATTTTTGTAATGTATTCGATGTCAGCAGCAACGGGAAGCGTAAGACCATAATCTTTCCATATTTTGTTATGTAGTAGCCAGGACACCTGAAGTTCTGAATAAATGTGTCCTAAAATTGCACAGTGACATTGTATGGTTGTACTCAGTGTCTCTCTTATTTGTATATTTTCCCTCGCTGGAATCACCGCTAAACTAATTACTTTGATGATCGAATATGTTCCATCGATTCGACGCAATGTCATTGCATAGACACCAGAATCATTTAGGACAGCTTTAATTATCTCTAAATAAATATGGTACGTATTAATTAATTTTGATTAATAATTTGTAAATAACTACCACAAATACATATTAATTATCTCTATATAATTAACTGTATATTAATATAGAGATATTGATTATCCCTAAATAATTATCATTGAATAACTATGATAAATGTTAATTATTACCAAATAATTATTTTTAAATAAATACAACAAATATTATTTTTTTCAGAATAAGTGCCTCTAAATATATATGAAGTGTAGGATCAGTTTTTGTTTTGAAGTTTTAGTATAGGAAATTATTTTTTACCGATGTTATAATCTTTCAGCTCTAATCTCTCAGGTTCTACTTCTATAAAGACGCCATTTAAGGACCATTGTAATTCGGAACGAGGTGATTCCGTGGTAATTAGTTTAACAATATCCGAATCTGATTTAATTGTGATAGAATTATGTTCCTTTACAGTAAAAGCTGTATAGTTCATTCGAATCCTTCGATTTATTAAATTTACTGTATCTGTGCAGAAAACAAAATATGTATAATTTTTATAAATATCTTACAAGTTTTGAACATTGTATTTTTTATATTTACTTCAATACATAATGATAGAATAAAATAATATCAGGATATATAAAACATTGAAAAACTTGTTTTAATCAATTAATTAGAGCTTCCTTTAATTGGAAACTTCTCTATTCATGAAAGTAAAAATGAACAAAAGCGAATTCATTTCACTTAGGTTGATTTTTATCCTACATCAAGTAAAAATATATCCTATTATTATTGCTGGAGGCGGATCAAATTCTTTATGATCCCCGAAAGAAATTATGATTTTAAAACTTACCTTCTGTTATATCACCGCAAAGAATTTCATTACATCGTCCAGTCATCGTACTGGGTCCCACGCATGGTTCTCCTCTGATGTTAGGTTTTGGAGACTCACAACGACGCTTTCGAGTTCCGGTACCGCCATTGCAACTTGCGCTACATGCCCATGGTCCCCATTCCGACCAGCCCCCATCGACTGGTAGTCCCTCTATATCTTTCAACCAAACTTATTCTTATTAGTTTTTATCATCCAATTTTTTTATTATCTATTAACAAAATTGTTCAACTATTTTGTTACATATAATTCTATTATATGATTATTGTTATAATTATGTATAATATTATAATATCAAGTTATAAACTTCAAAACTTATACTTTTTAATTGTGCTTAAATTCTAAATAAGAATATAATTTATTACATAATATTATTTAATTAAATTTATCGTATTTAATAAGTAAGTATTATTATACGTGTGAAATTGTTTAATAAGATACAATTTGTTTTTACCTGTAGGTATACAATTCACAGACCAGGTAATCCAATTGCCGGAATCAACGCCGACAGAAAAGAAATAGAATACAAGAGGACTAATATGTTGATAATGAAACACGTTCGTTGCATTAGAGTAGATGTTCATGATGTTTCCAGACCACCTAAGTAATTTTTAAATATAAACGTAATTATAAACGGCAGTATAATATATATTTTTATAACGTATATATAATATAAAATTAAATATAGGATGACAATTAAAAATTATTATATTTCGGAAAAGCTTTGATAATAATTTATGTTATGTAGTCAGGGTCCTGCAGTCGGACATTGCAAAAGCATGCCTGCCCCATGGTACAGCCGGCGATGGACTAAGGAACCTTCACGTGGGGTTAGAGCACACGCGTGTCCAACTACTAGGCCTCGCATAGGACCCTCAGCTTGATTCTGGGTGTTTCGTCGGTTCGTTGGTTGCCTTACTTCTTCGAGTAAGTCATGGCAAGGTTGACAGTGGCTGGGGTGGGCTAGGCCCGATTGGAAGAGTGCTGAGGCCTGGAGTTATCTTATATCTGGGATTACATCGCGTAGACTAATCGGTCTTTCAAATCGGTTGATCGTTCTTACTTTTTACGCCATACGCTAGTTTTTAGAAGAACTCACAATTTTTGGAAACTGAGGATGATGGAGCAGTTTCGATTACGAATTCGTGCTCACAAAAGTAAATTCTATAAGAATTATCCGATGGACATTACAGATTAAAATTCGTAAAACAGTGTAATTAGTAATTTACCTTATTGTGATGTTGGTCCACGAATTTGTTGTAAATAAAGGCACTTGTGCTTTTTGTTTATGGAAGACTGTCACAGAAGGATATGTATTTCTTGTGAACATTATCCAACGATCCGGATCATTAAGTTTAAGCATAAAATATCTAGTAAAAAAAATTAATTCAAACATATTATTCAAAATGACATTCGATTTAATATAATTCATCAATTAATTTCAATTTTAATAATTATTTGAATCATAGAAATTAGTACATTGAGATATACATGTATACTATCATTTTCTTGAAATGATACGAAATTTAAGGAATAAGAAAATTGAGAAGGCTTGTAAAAGAAAAAATAATTTGCAAAAACTTTAAATTTACCCTGGATTTGCAGGTGTCAAATACAATGGTAAAAGAATTCCACCTTTTCCTCGGAGCTGCAAAGTCACTTTTTCAGGAAGTACCACTACTTTGTCAATCCACGTTGATAACGACAGAATTCTAGTGTATCGATCAGTTCTCGTGTTTTCTATGTGACAATCTATTTGTACAAAGAATTAATTATACTCAACTTCATTTATAATTTTAGGACATTTTATCATATTAACTTCAAGATAGTGACAAATCGAATAACAAATTAATTCATTTTTCAAATTAAAAATTTGATAAATAAAAAGAATAAAAATTAAACATACATATATGATACCTCACAAGATTCTTTACATTTTATACGAATGTACTCCACAGGTCAAAACGCGGCAAGCACGTTGTACTAAAATTAAATAATATAAAATTAAACATAAAACACAAGCCCCTAAATGCATTATTTAAAAAATAAAAAAATGTGAAATGTGAAGGAAATAATGTGGACATGTGTATATTGTAATGCAATGTATGACAAGAATAGATAAATAATAAATATTTTTTTACTTCATAATGATATACTGAATTAAATATAATGACTTAACATAATAACTATCAAATTGATTTACTGAATCAAATATTTTTATTCTTTTTATTTATGAACTTTAAGCCATATTAAATAGTTATTATGGTATAAATTTTTTAGTATGTTTACATTATGTTATTTATACCTACATTATGTACATATTTATGTATTTTCTCATTCAAAAGTGTTATCTTCCCCTATGAATATAAATCTTAAATCAGTGTCCGTATTATTAAATATATTTGATAAAACACATTATTTCGGTAAACGTAGCTTATATTAACAAATAGTTGAAAATCTATATCACTTTCAGTTCTCGGAATAATTCCTAAGCACCGTTATTTCCTATAACTGTTACAAAGAATCGAAATCAGCAGAGATATCAATTTCAGTTATGGTTTCACTAACTTTTAAAATATTAATTTTATGTTGGTATATTTCGGTCCTGTCTCGATTACACTTCAATATAATGTGTATACATATATCCTTATATTGATTTTATTTTAGTTCATATATTGATACTCTTATTGATTTTATGAAACTGCTTATAAATTACTTACCAAATGATGGTATCGATTTCTTTTGGTAATGTACTCGTTTATGCTATGAATCATGCTGTCCCGTTGTCAATTAGATTAATTTTGGATACGATATATACAATAGACGTATCACCATAAACAAGATATAGAATAGACTTCGCATTTCATATTCTGAAATACTGACTATGAAAGAAGGTAGAGGCTTCTGCCCTCTACAATTTACAGCCGAGAATTTAGGAATTACATTCAACGTAATCTTCGTAACCGATAAAACAGATGCAAATACATTCTCCTTTACTAAATGAGCAAACAACAAATTTCATGTCATACAAGATAAAATATTTATTACTGAAAATTTGTATCATTGATTTTGAATCATGTTTTAACAAGAATAATTATTATCATTTTCAGGAGATAAAAAGGATACTGTAGTGCAGTCGTATATTAAAATGTATAATTGTAAATGCTATTATTAATACACCGGTCAATTTATGTCAATTTATGCAGCACTTTTTGAACGCGAGTCTTTAACTTTTTGAATGAGTTTTCAATTGGTTCCTACCCCATGCAGCAGGAACATATGTAGTGTATCTGGTTACAAGAAGAACAATACCATTGAAATAGTGGAATAGCCGAGTTTAATATACCGAATTGACAAGCGTGAAATTCCAAAAGTACTTTTTAAACGGTGTAATGTAGAATGAATGTAGAACGAATAATAACAATTATATCAAAATGTAAATGAGGATAGATTAAGCTAATTATATAAGTTTGTAGTTTGTTTTTGTTCTGTGGAACATCGACGTTGATATGATATAGTAATTAAGAGATTGAAACGGTTGATTCCGGTTCTCGATACAGTTTCAAGGAACCGTTAGTTTCTATAATAAACTTAATAATCGAAATCTGTGAAGATATTGATTTCTGTTGCGACTCCAGTACCTTTTGAAATATCGGCTTTATTTCAGTTTTTAAATTAATTTTCTGCTTACGCTTGTAAAATTTTTCAATAGAATTGATATGAGACCAATATAAGATCGATATTTTAAAAATTAGTTAAATTGAAACCAGAATTAACACATTAGCGTCGGGTGATATGTGGATGGTATATATATGTCATCCATATTTTTACTAGGAATAAATGACGTGAAAATACGTCATAGAGTTTCTCATGTATCTATCTTAAAATAAATTCAAAAAATTGTAAATGGTTATATTATTTATTCAAAAAATTATAACAATTTCTTCGAATCTAATGCGATTGATAAAAGAACATGAAATCATTCTGTACCCACATAAACCATGTCTCTAAACGCCCCGACGCCAATGTGTTATTATAGATAGGACTATTTTTGGTTGTTATATATATAACATCATTCCAGTTCTTCATAACTGTCTTGGAAAGGACCTTTATATAACAAGTATATCTGAAATCACTTCAATCTTTGTTATTAATGCAAATCCTAATTATTATTTATCTATTTTTGTTTTGAGTTACATAAAGGAGAGAAACATACCTGGAAAGTAATGATTCTTATTAATTAAAGAAATATACTGGATCAGGTATAAACTATTAATGAACTAAACGTTAAAAGCCAAGGGAAAATACACACTTATTTCAGTTTGATAAATTTTATAAACATATTTCAAATAACTATTGGCTTATTCACGTACCTAAACTAAAACATTTAGTTTGAAGGTATTAAAACGAAGTACTGAATATTCTCCTCAATTTAATATAAAATATTAAATATTTATTACTTACTGGTGTTACACATTCACCCTTATATAACTCAAAAACGCCCGATTAGATTTCATCTATAGTGCAATAAATATTAAACATACTCGAGTCATGATCAAAAGCAAAGCCAACAGCCTTTCCCAGTTCAGTGCCATAATAGTAATACATGGGCAGGAAAGCATTAGGAGGGTCAGGATGGGTCCATTCGAACAACGGTTTAGGATCATCTTCGTAATAAAGCAAGAATTGTCCACGAGGTATTCGAATTATGAAGCTACTCCATTTTCCCACGTAAAGTAAGTGCGGTAAAACTTTTTTTTTCACGAGAGAGACAGCTGTAATTAAACAAATTTTAATTGCAAAGTAAAAATCATAATAAAACATTTATCTCACAAATGAAATGCTTTTCGTATCCAACAAATTTTGCCACGTTTCTATATATCACATATATAATTTTCTCTTTCCTTTTTCATTTAAAGTATGCAATATTCATAAATTGTATTTTGCACGTGCTTTCGAATTAACTAGTCATTTGTTTACCCGGCTTGAAATCTAATCTTATACATAGAAATCAATTATTCGGATTATTTTATTTCACTTGCAAAAATTGCAAAATTACTGAATACAAATTAACAAAAAGCTCAATTCTCAAATATAACAATTAGAAAGTTTCAATATTTTCATAAATATAGTCCATAAAATTTTTGTTGGAAAATAGAAATAGAAATAGAAATAGAAATAGAATATTTAGAAAATAATTAAAAATATTCTTTATACGTTCTCACTGCCAGTTTCACGGTATGTAATTACTAATTTTCTTTAAACCAAAAAACTTTCTCATAACGTGAAGAAATATTCCTGATAAATATTCGTATGGATTACCTGCAGTTTCTGACTGATAAAGAAGGAGAACGTTCTCGTTACTGATGGATCCTATTTTAAGAATATAACGCGATTTTAATCCATCGTCAGCTAGAAAGACAAACGTGACGGAATCCGGATTATCCGGCTCCCAGGCTTTCAGGGAAAAATGTAAACCTTCCGAACGGTATTCAGGTAAAACATATATACGTCTACCCACACCATCTCCTTTAACTAGAAAAGTATATTCGTCTGCAAATCATAATTTAACACCATTATTAAACCGTAACTCTTACGTACAATTGTATTTTATATTGTATTATTGTATATCAGTACTAAATAAAAAACAATTCATATTCACTCGTTGTTAGTATTATTAGATACTAACAAAGTATCATAATATACGCAGAAAGATAAAAGAAAGAAAATTTAAATCTTTAAAAATACATAGTATTCACTGAAAAAAAAAATTATTAAAGTGTTTAAAAATTATGAATTGTTAATATTTAATTTACATTAAATACTTTCCTGAATTACGTTGTGAAGTAATGTTTTAATAATTAAACATTAACCTTAAAATCACTTAAAAGAATGTTGCTTGTAATTTAAAAATTAGAGATACAGTACTCCTTTCTACATCATTTATATTCCTCGACTTAAAATCGCCTCCTTCATAGTTCATTTATATCTAATTTTTCATTTAGTTATTATAACTGTCATCATTATTATTATTATTACTTATGTCATTGCTTGTATAATAGTAGAATAAATTTTGTTGATGTTACTACTTTTAACATTTTGTGGCATATTTTACGCCTATTTTAAAATTTAATTAATACATTTACCTGGTTTTTCACAATCTCTGACATTGCAAAGATCCATAGGTACTGAAGGGTCTGTTGTGTAACACCAAGCGCCAGCGATATTGCGTGAAGGATTTCTGCAATAATTACTAGCGTTCTTAGCACTTCCCTCTGGGTAAAGGGTGTCATTGAAGTATTCCTGGAAGACTGTAGAACCGACACGGGGAGCTGCTACGGTTGACGTTTTGAGTGACCTAGACATTATGGGCATAGATGTCACTGCTGATTCGAGTCCAATTGGCCATTTCCTACAAATACGTCCTGAGCGAGTCTTTGAAAGTGTTCCCATGTAATCATTTGCGGTTCCGGCCATTCGACAATCTGAAAGGTAAGAAACGAAGGTGGACTTTCCTGTTTTTTGTTTAAATGATATTGTATTAACTTTGTTTTGATACATTTTATAATGGCTTACTGGGTACTTTAAATAGTGAAATTTAAAAAAGAAAACTAAAGTATAAAACTTTTAAAAAGTGTATAAAGATACACTTAGCACTTATTGTCTATAGATAAATTCTTCATTAACTTAAATACATTAACATGGTTTATGAATTAAAGTAAATATTTTATTTTTTTGTGAATAAAACTTCATACAAAAGGATATCATTTTTCTGCAGTATAAACTACTAAATGAAAAATCATTCATAGCCATAAATCTATATAATATCATGTAATGTATAATAGACTTTACAGTACATAGTAAGGTGAGTGATGTAAATGATGTATAAAAATTTATATAATATATAGTTATCTATAATAAAAAATATATAAATAAAATATACATACATATCTATTAACATACTTTAGATAATGTTATAATATAAATAAGTTTTTGAGAAAGTTGAATTTGTTATCATAAATCTGATAACATTTTCTTTTACATTTCATACTTTTATTATAATTTTAACAAGCTTTCAGAACAGCTATGTTTGTATAACATTTTCTTTTTATTTCTGTACATAGAATATACAGAAAACTTTTACTTGGAAAGAACTGGGACAGCCTGTATATTTATGATTACAAGTATTAAAACCACTATGTTCTGTGGCTTTATCTTCTTTGGTGATGGGCCTAATTAAAGTACAAGACAAATGCATTGGCTGGTCAAACTTGTTTCTCCTCAGTGACTTTTCCAGATTGACCAACTATCTAAAGGAGATTTGCATATGTAGTGATTCGATAGATCAATATTAATATAAACTTATTTTCTGACGTGATCTTTATCTATCTTCTGGTACCAATATCCTTTTTATGTATGTATAAGCAGGTATCTATCTACTATATTTTATTCATTTTTTATGCAACATATACTCTTTTCCTTTTTTCATGACAAGACCAGAGAATTTACTTATCTTGACTGTCCAATACATCTGCCTTGGATATTAATTAATCTATACATGACAAGTTATTTAAGTAATACAAAGTAGGCAAGACATTAGGTCTTCTTCTAATATTCTCTATTTTGATAATAAAATTATAATTAAATTTTATAACGTGTAACAATTGTTTTATAAAATAGTATAAATTATTCTAAATATAATAATTTTTAGATATTAATTACCTGACGATCTACAATTTCGAATCGAACAATATCGTTTCGAAATAGTTACATCTTTCCATGGGGTATAGGCATAACAATAGGCACCATTGGAATCATAAGTAGGATTTCTACATTTATTCATTGCTTTCAAAGCAGATCCATCAATGAATTTTTGGTCAATTTTCTCTTGTGCTGGGATCTTATTAAAAAAAATAATAATCAAAATATTGAATTTTATATTTGTATTATAATCATAATATATTTAATATTTACTTTCATAATTTGAATGTGTTCAAATTACATTAGATGTTTCACTTTTTAAGTGTCAAATTTCTTTCAGTATATTCTATGATCTAAAGAAAAAAATAAGAAAAAATTAAATTAAGAAATATGTTAATTTTAATGGGTACATAAAAAATCGTATATTTTTCAAAATATTTTTAGACGGTACCTACAAAACTTACAAAATACTTATGAAGTACTATAATGGTTAAAATTAGTATCGGTAACAATAATAGTATATTAATA